ACACACACACACACACACACACACACACACACACACACACACACACACACACACACACACACACACACACACACACACACACACACACACACACACACACACACACACACACACACACACACACACACACACACACACACACACACACACACACACACACACACACACACACACACACACACACACACACACACACACACACACACACACACACACACACACACACACACACACACACACACACACACACACACACACACACACACACACACACACACACACACACACACACACACACACACACACACACACACACACACACACACACACACACACACACACACACACACACACACACACACACACACACACACACACACACACACACACAGACACAGACACAGACACATACACATACACATACACATACACATACACATACACATACACATACACATACACATACACATACACATACACATACACATACACATACACATACACATACACATACACATACACATACACATACACATACACATACACATACACATACACATACACATACACATACACATACACATACACATACACATACACATACACATACACATACACATACACATACACATACACATACACATACACATACACATACACATACACATACACATACACATACACATACACATACACATACACATACACATACACATACACATACACATACACATACACATACACATACACATACACATACACATACACATACACATACACATACACATACACATACACACACATCGTGAAAATAGTCAAAACGGATTCAGGGGACCTCAAAACGTAAAAATCCGTCGAAAACTCGAGGTCGAAAAAAATCATGATTCCTATATTTTCCTTATATTTGTATACAGATAGGAAAGTAAAAAGGTAAAATATAAAATAGGCGAGTTCATTGTCAAAGAAATATATGGAAATCCCATAAAAACCGAAGTTGTATATAGGTTACATATATTTAGATGTGTCATACGTTTATCTAATATAAATGGAACCAAAATGAATCATAAAATTATGTATTAATTAATATGTATATTATTTTTAATTTATGCGAAAATTTCATATTTATTAGTGGAACCATTGATAGATCACTGTTCTGTCAGTATTTATAATTAAACTCTTTAATTCAGGTTTTTATTAAAGACATACGGTTTGTATTCATCAGGTAGATGGTTGAAAAATAAGATTGTCAGATTAAAAATATTTTTTAAAAGATTTAACTTTAAAATTATTGTTTTTAATAACACCCTGTATAGCCACTTCATAAAACACGTGTTAACATGGTTTTATAACGTTTTATTAAATATCTCGTAAATAATGTTTGAAATGTAATTAATTAAGGAACAAAATAAAGAATGTCTTTAAAGGACATAAGGCCTATCACTTCATAGCGATCAGCTGGTCGAACGTCAATTCCCCGCTCTTGGCGCTCTCTCCTGGTCCTGGACACTGAAACGGGTAGACCATGGAGGAAGGGTAGGACATTGCAACGGGCAGACGTGGTATCGTCGACCCAGTGGCGGCGATATCCTAATTCGCTGACTCTAACACTATTTTTATTTTAAATCCTTACTATCGTTATAAATACACATCATCATACATGTCAATTATTGAATAGCAGTCTAAATTATGAAATTTAAAAGTTTCAGTTGGGACAATAATCTCAAAATTGCATGCAATTTGTTTTAAGTGATTTTAAGTTCATCAAAGTGTTTGTTAATATTTATGTACTTTGAATATTCTGAATTCGTTTTATGATGTTTTGAAACCAATTTTCAAACAGGCCCATCTATTTCTTCCAGGAGGCTGGCACACCCTATATACTTAATACAAACATATATTTCTATTAGAATACAATGTCATTTTTCTGCTTTTTGTATTCTAATAGCTTCTCGCTCTAGATACATTTGAACTACTGTCTTATTTACTAAAATCGCATAGGCATAATTTCGTAGGAATTTAAATCCCTCAAAAATTTTAATACATTAGGAGATGTGACTAGAAAAAACCCGATTCAGTCAGTTTATTTTCCAGCCACACCTCGTATGAGGTTATTTAGAAATAAAATTGATTTTAAAAGTAGAGCTTTCTATAACTCATATATACAGTTAACTGCATAACATGTCTAATTGAAATTGTGTCAAATAATGTTTTAAAATCGATATTTGCTAAAAATAATGCATTCTTACTCGAAATGATTACGTTACAGATAGTATATGAAGGTCTGTGCGTGATTCATTTGAACTACTGTTCTTAATTAAACGAATTATTGCTTTAAAAATATTTATCTACAATTTACTGGAAAAAATTGTTGATTACTACTACTTGTGAGTTTTTATGTATTATTTAATCTACGTAATCAAACGATTTAAAATTACTGAGTTTATATTTTCAACAACGTCCGTCATATTTGAACTGCCGACTTATAATTAGCAGTCAATTTTCCATATTAATTTATGAACTCTAAAAATTGCTTATTATAAGTGATATTTATGGGTTTTTATTTTTGATTCATTTGAACTACTGTAATTTAAAGATCGTACATCTTTTTATTGGTATGTATTTTAGTGTTGATGAAATTTACATTAAATTTGAACTAGTTATTTTATATGAAAATATTTATTATTATACACTTCACACAGTAGTCAGTATACAGGGTGTCCCAAATAGTTTTACCCATGCTATAACTTCTAAAACATGCAAGATAATCGAACAGGACAAAAGTCATCCATTATAATTGGTGGTGTACTTTAAACGACACCCTATTTTTTCAAGTTGTTTTCTGTCAAATTCATAGTAAGTTTTCTAGCGCATTATAAACAATACTATATCAATCTGTCTCTTGTGCAGCTTAAATACACGATAAAATTAACATAATTCCAATTACTGGTCCCCAATTTCTGGATACGAAACAAAACCAAAGGACTTAGAAGATTTAAAAAATAGAATCAGACATGCTTGTAACAGATTTACGCCGGCCATGATTCGAGCTGCCTGTACTAGAAATTTTTTGTTAAGGTTTGACAAATTTGTGGAAGTGGGAGGTGAGCAATTTGAGCACTTATTATAAGTTATTACTACTCTTTGTTTGTTGATATTTATTTCTTGTCTTCTCCTTCTCTTGTTTCAATGTATTTTTTTAATTATGTGTCACCTAATAAAGTATTTTTTATCATCAACTTGACATACAGTTTTATTTAATTTCTCACTTATTTATGGGTTTATGGGTGTCATTAATAATTTTTGAGGGCGTTGTTCCAGGGGGGTAGTTTTTGAGGGTGGGTCGTCAAATTTTTATTTGTTTCAAAGTACACCGCCACTTTTGTCCGGTTCGATTATTTTGCATGGTTTAGAAGTTATAGCCTGGGTAAAACAATTTGGGACATCCTGTATATGTTTCAAAAGTAAAATAATATTAAGAAATCAAGTTGTTCTCTGTATCGTGTATAGGCACAATATATTTTTGAAATTTCAAAATTGCATGGACGTAAATGGCACATTTATTTATCTCCATTTGAATATTTTTTTCAAAAACAACTTACCAGATTTTTTCAAAATTTGCCCATCAATAACTTATGTTAGTTTGAACTTAAGAATTATTTTCTTGTTTGGGTAAAATAAACCTTAAAAACAATATTTTTTAGGCACATATATGTACCAGTGACGATAGCGTGCCTAAACATGTAAAAAAAGTTTAGTCATTCCATTCAAAAAAAAAAAATTAAATGTTTGGTCTAATTTTCTATTGGACCACTCTGTCTACTTATCAATAATTTCCATATATCGATGGCCTAGAAGCAATAACACGTGAGTACATCTATCAAAATTTGTGGTTATAAAGAAAATAATGTTATACCGGGTGTTCAAATTAAAATGTTACACTTAAATACCGCCTTTTATAAAAAAAAACGTTTCAGACGAAAGTTTTATAGTTAAGTCCACCTCGATATGGCCATATTATATCAGCTATCAAAAAATGAATTTAGCCAAAATGTTTCCCCAAAAAAACTATAAAACTTTTCTCCAAAAAAACTATATAACCTTTTTTTATAAAATGCATATTTTCGGCGGTATTTAACGGTAACACTTTAATTTGAACACCCGGTATAAATATATTTTTTAATTAACTATGTTAAAAAGTTACATATAACATTATGTATGGCATTTTTACTGTCTTCGCCCTTGATTCCTTTTTTCAATTTTTTTTAAAGCACATACATGTTATTGCTTTTTTCTTCAGATTTTGTACTTACGAGTGTTAGCAACCCCCGTAAGAAACGCCACTGGGATATCTAGTACTATGAATCATTAGGCGATAAGTTGAAATCATCATAAAATGATATAAGCGTTAATTTAGATATATGGCATTATTGTACGAATCTTTATACAGTTTAGTCGAGTATAATAAATAGTTGTGTTAAATAGTCGAGTTTAGTGTTACCACCCTCTCCTAATACGAGGTATTGCTTCTAGGCCATCGATATTTGCTTTTGATCCCCTACTGATAAATAAATGTTACGTTTTAAATATTAGGAGTATAGAACTGCAACAGAGATTTGCCGGAATATGTATATTTTACTAAAAAAAAATAAAATTAACTTGTAAATGTCCCCATTCTAAAAGACACTCCTCAATTGTAGTCTAAGTCTAGAATAGACCCCATGTCGATGCTATGTCCGTTCGGTTGGTAACTGGTGAGTAATTATCCAGTTAAATAAATTATTGTAAAAGCCGTACATTGAAGTGCAGCTGTAAATTGCTTGATTGTATAAACAGACTGCATGTACCTCTCTCTCTCTCTGTCTCTCTCCCGGTCATATAGAGAGATTTTATTTTAGTGTCGTTTGATAATCAGTAGAGAAATGTCTTAGATTAAATAATAGAACGTTTTAAACATTTTAACCAGTATGTTGGTGTACTTCAATCATTTATTTTATTTTCAGTGCGATGATAACTTCGTGAAATGTAACTATACGGAAGGACCTTCGGCTTGGGCAGGGTCCTTTGAGAAACTACTGGCCGATCCTTTGGGGCTGCATATGTTTGCTGTAAGTATTTACATTTTTTTTAGTACAGAAAGTTACATAGTTAAAGGGAAATATTATAGTGGTAGGAAAAGATCATCGAAGAGGTTCTAAATATACTATACACGGTGTTTTGATGATTAACTAACAAACCACCTAGTATATATTTTTTTTTATATTTAATTTTATATTTTTTAACTTAAATTATAAAAAATATAAGAAAAATATCTGAAAACATATCAAATAACCAAAAGAGATATTGATTTTGTTAAACATCGACGTTTCTAAAACAATTTGATCAATTCTATTGACGACGAAAGAAAATATTAACACGTTGACTGCCACGATCATTTTTAGGATTCCCGTCTAAATAGTAATTTAATTTAAACTTTATATTAATAAAAACTCTAATTGTAGGACTTTGTAATCTTCGAAAGCATGGAGAATGTGTTTTTTAAAGATCTTGAGAATTATCTTGTAGTTTATGTCACAGAAAGCTAACTACGATTTAATTCGTACAGTTTCATATCGACCTGTTGTCGCTTTGATACAATGGCGCACCTAGGTATTTTATTTTGGGGTGTGTTAAAATTTTTTAGTATGACATTTGGTCCAACGTAAAATGAGAAAGAATACATTTAAATAAATTGCTACTTAATCATTAACTTTTCGGGGGAGGTGGTTTGTAACCCCTAAAATCCCACCTTGAGTGCGTCAATACTTTGCTACACCCGAGTTATACGTCAAAATTCGTTAGCCTAAATCAGAATCAATGAAAACGCTTTTTTCTCTCTTGATTTTAAATAAATATTATATTTATTTTATAGGTTCGATTAATTTATTAGATTTTCTGTTTGATTTTTGTTCAAAGCTATATATTCCTAATTGCACTGATATACTACGAATTTAATCGTAGCTGCACGAATATGGTAAGTAAACTATAAGATAAGTCGTAGTTGGCAGTCAACGTGTTAAGAATATATCGCTATTGGTAATAATACTAAGAATCTATTTAAACACATATCTCTTCTTCAAAGAATTAACCCCTTTCTCAAAAAATCGGTTGAAATTTTATGTAACAATGATCAAAAAACAGCCAACCATTTTTTACAAGTATTTTTCTTAGAACTTGCAGGCGACTGCACAATTAGTTACACTGTCCGATCAGCAACATAATGTTGACTTCTTATCTGCTACTGTTCATATATCTAAATAAATTCCAATCAATTTCCTCGCCTGGAATTAATAATATTAATAATATTTATTAATAATATAATATTAATATTATTCGAATCTCGCCGGTGGCGATTAATTCTAATGCACAGGTAGGATTCCCCCACTCGACCATTCACTGTTGGGTTCTAATTAACAGTGCTGTTCCTAAAGTAACGCTGGGAAACAGTACAAAGCCTACACGGTTCACGAAGTTAATGATTGTAGCAGTTGATGCCGATGACACAAAAAAATAATGTTGATATATTATTATTAATATTATTAATTTCAGGCTTCGTTAGGAATAAAAGTCGTATGTGATATTGTATTTGTCTAAATTAGTGTACGAAGGAAAATGTAAAGCAAAACACAAATTACGTTATGTTCCTTTAAAATCTATACACTTTTGCATCCGATGAAACCAATCTTTAAAACAATTTTGCCATTCTGAGCGAGGTACCTTCAAAACAAGGGATTTAAATGCCTAAACAGCCTCTTCAGGCGATGAAAAACGCTCGCCACGCATTTTATTTTTGATATGTCGAAATAGGAAGAAGTCATTGTGCGATAAATCAGGCGAATATGGGCAATGAGTCATTAATTGGATGTTGTTACTGGTCAAAAACTCTACAGTTCGTCGTGCTGTGTGAGCTCTTGCATTGTCATGATGAAGAATGATTCGCCGGTTTATGTTGTTACTTCTGATTTCAGCGATAACTTCCGGCAAACAAATTGAAGTATACCAGTCATAATTAACTGTCCTTCGATCCTCTAATGCAACAGTTGCAACATGACCCGTTTATCCGAAGAAACAAGCAATCATTCTTTTCGAAACGCTTCGTGAACGCACCACTTTTGTGGGTTTAGGTTCATTTTGGAACACCCATACAGTCGATTGCTGTTTAGTTTCAGACTCATATGAATATATCTAAGATTCGTCACCTGTTACGATGTTATATACCGAATTTGAACGACCCCCTTCGAATTTGTTTAGCATTTCCTTGCACCACTTGACACGTGCCTGTTTTTGTTCTTCTTTCAAATTGTGTGGGATCCAACGACTGCAAATCTTCCTGACATGCAAATGATCGGGCAAAATCGTATTTGTTTTGCTGCAATGCCTAAGGATGCCTCTATCTCACGATAGGTCACATGCCGATCTGACAAAATCATTTCACGCACAGCATCAATATTTTTCGCGACAACAGAGGTACATGGACGACCTTCGCGAAGATCGTCATCAAACGTTGGTCTTCCACGCTTGAATTCTGCGAACCATTTGTAAACCATAGTTTTGGATGGTGCTTCATCCCCAAATAATGAACTTAAGTTTTTCCACACATTGCTGCGGTGTTAAACCGTATGGAAAATCATAAAAAATCATCACTCGGAAGTCACGATTCGAAATTTCCATTTTTCACACAAATATTACTCTCGTTAAATTTTGTTGAAATGAAACCGAGCAGTTTGAAATCGAACTGTCAACTGAATGATAGGTGAAAAACGTCAAATTTTACGATTATAACAATCGCAGAACGCTGGCAATACAAGGAGTACTTGATTCCGCGAACTTTAGCAGTAGCCCTCGTATGTGGGAACTGAATAATAAGAATGTTAGCTTGAAAGGAATGTTAAATATCGTATCCCTTGGTGGGATGATTCATGTAATGAACTTGTATCACAGGGTAACCTCTATTAGAAATTTCATGGAAAGTCCAAATTTAGATAATCCAAGTTAAAAAATATATAGGTACATCTAGAAAAGTTCTCAAATCCAAACGAAAAAATAACTTTAGGATGTATTGTAGCTCTCTCAATCGTCATTCTTCCCTGAAGTTCATTTGGAATAAAATTAATAACATTTCTGGTTTAAAACAAAATCTCTCGAATCTAATTCCTACCCAATCGATTGCGCAAGAAATCTTAAACATTCTTTCCCCTCCTTCCCTGGAAAATGTGTGCCAAATTAATAGCTCAACTCATTCAGAATCCCCCTTTACTCATAATGAATACTCAAGTTTGTTAAATTTGAAACGAGACTCTTCTCCAGGTTTAGACCTTATTTCATACTCTATGCTTACCTGGTTCAGGCTTCTTGTTTCTTCTGAGTATCTTTAATAAGTGTCTTTTAACAGGTTCAATTCTTTAACAATGAAATCAATCCTTAATTCTACCTATAATTAAGCCAAATAAGGATAAAATGGTAGCTTCAAATTATAGGCTTATTTCCCTTTCCTCTTGCGTAGGCAAAGTATTAAAATCCTTAATCAAAAATCGACTAGAATGGCATTTGGAAAATAACCAAATTCTTAATCCCTTACAATTGGGCTTCAGAAGAGGCAGGGGTTGTACGGATTGTCTTGTCTATCACCTCACAAGTGCAAATAGTCTTCTTCCTTAATGAATTTACTATTGGTCTCTTCATCGATATTTCTGCTGCATATGATTCAGTTAATATTCCTCGGTTATATTCCATTTTACTAGATGCGAATGTCTCAGTGGATTTGGCCAATTTAATACATTCCTTTTTAGTCCAAAGAGAACTATTTACTTGATACAATTTGGGCCACATCCATGGTCCTCAACTACTTATCAAGGCCTTCCTCAAGGTTCTTCGCTCAGTCCCATTTTGTTTAACCTTTATGCCTTGTCCCTATTTGATATCCTGCCTAATAATTTTAAATTAATGTTTACAATATGATTCCACGTATCAACTCCTTTTTTGCTTAAATTAGAGTCCTGGTTGGAAAAATTTAACTTTAATCTTTTATTGCATAAAACTTCGGCAATTTTATGCACTAAAGGGGTAACTAAAATTACTTTACCTAATATCATCTATAAATCTCAAATGATTCAATGGAAGGATAAAGTTAAATACCTGGGGATAAGCATTCATAAGAATCTTAAATGGAATTGTCACTTTAATGATTTAAATATTAAGATCAATCGTAACCTCAATGTCGTGCGTGCTCTCCGTGCGACTTGGTGGGGATGTGATCCACAAATATTAAGAATTTTACATAAATCAATCATTTTGTCCCACTTGGATTATGGATGTTTTTTTTTTTATTTTTGTGTCATCGGCATCAACTGCTACTATTTGCATCGTGTTCTGTGTAGGCTTTGTTACTGTTTCCCAGCGCCACTTTAGGAACCGCACTGTTAATTAGTACCCAACAGTGAATGGTCGAGTGGGGAATCCTACCAAGGCATCAGAATTATGGATGTTAAATTATAATAGCGTGTTCCCAGGATATACAAAAGAAGTTAGATACACTTCAGATCCAAAGCCTTCGTATCATCACAGGGTGTATGAAATCTACCCCATTTCTAGCCTTATTGACAGAGACAAGTGAACTCCCCCCTCATATTTAGAAGAGAATGGCTATCCTTTAAGTACCTAATTAAAAATATGTCTTTGGTAAACAATCCCATTATCACTGCTTTAAGAAAACTAAAAAGATTATGTGGAGTCTCTACCTGTTGGAACAACAAAAGTAATCCTCTACTAATCCAGCTGATCAGTCAATTCGATATCGTGAATCCTCACTTATATTCTTCAGAGCTTTTACCATGTTATAAATTTGATTTGCAACCCCAATTGGCCTCCATTCCTATTGTAAACATTGGCGCTACCAAATCTGAAAATATAGGAATTGTACAATATCAGAATATCATCAGAAAATACCCATTTTACACCAGGTTCTTTACCAACGGCTCAGTAAACTCGGCCGGTCACTCAGGGTTTGGAGTGTATAGTCCAGATATAGATTATGCATTCTCAAGTAAGCTTCCTTTCCATACTCAAATTT